CCAAATTCTTACGCTGAAGCTATAACCTCCAATGTGATAGTATTTGAAGATGGGACCTTTGGGAGGTAGTTAGGTTTAGATGAGGTCACAAGGGTGGGGTTTTCATAATGGGATTAATGCCCTTGTAAGAGGAGACCAGAGAACTTGCTCTCTCACTTTCTGCCAACTGAGGATACAGCAGGAAGACCACCATCTGTAAGAGACTCTTCATTTGCTCTGAACAGAAACGGCTGGCACCTCAATCTTGGACTTTCTAGCCTTCAGAACTGTGAGAATATATACTGTCATTTAAGCCACACAGTCTATGGTATTTTATTATAGCAGTTCAAGCAGATTAAGAAAATCTCAAAATAAGATTCCCACATAGGCTAAAGAAGCTTTGATATGAAAAAATTTCCATACCACAAACATGTAAATCATACAGTAATTTGCAAGTAGCAAGTGATATACTATTTAAATCATGCCAGGAAGAAAAAAATGTTGATATTAGTGATTCTTAGTTGCTCTTGGAAGCAACTCAAATATTATCAATTTGCATAATTAGTTATAAAAACTGGATAATGGCCATAAGATGTGCTAATGAACAATTTTTATTTTTACCACATGAATCTACTATTTACAGATTATCAATTTGCAAAGAATTTGAATATGACAAAATAAAAGAAAATTCAATTATATTAAACAATTTCAGCTTTCTTTGATAAAATAAAAATCTTCAAGATCTTGGCACAGGATCATTGTTGCTATATTATGGAATTTTTATATATACGCATATATACATGCAAGTATCAGGTGCAATTGAGTTCCAACTGAGAAAAAGCCTGGCAAGTTTTTTCCTATGCATTAAGGTATTATTCACAGAGCTAACGCTACAAGAGTTACACAGCTGACTTTTTTTGAGACAGGGTCTGGATCTGTTTCCCAGGCTGGAGTACAGTGGCAAGATCTAGCACAGTGCAACCTCCATCTCCTAGGCTCAAGCCATCCTCCCACCTCAGTCTCCCAAGTAGCTGGGACTACAGATGCATGCCACCACACCCTGTTAATTTTTGTATTTTTGGTAGAGACGGGGTTTCACCATGTTGCCCAGGCTGATCTCAAACTCGTGAGCTCAAGTGATCCATCTGCCTCAGCCTCCCAAACTCCTGGGATTACAGATATGAGCTACTGCACCTGCCATACAGCTGACGTTTAAAACAAATTTAAGTCCATCCTTTTTCATATCACAAAATCTTTTATCTGAAACATTTAATATTAATCTATCTTTTACAACTAGTGCAGGCTCAACTTGGTCCCTTTATAAATTAACAAAATAAGCTGGTAAAAGTATGTTTCATCAAATTCCTTTACAAACATATTTTCCTGAATAAAAAAGTAAATAAAAACTACTGAACTTTTTTTAAATAGTTTCTAATCAATTTCAGTATCTGGTTCTCATAGGCTGAAACAATGCTACAATGACTGGGTTGCACAACAGTCTGGGGAAAATATTTTTTTTGTTTGTTGCCCAGGCTGGAGTGCAGTAGTGCGATCTCAGCTCACTGCAACCTCTGCCTCTCGGGTTCAAGCGATTCTCCTGCCTCAGCCTCCCAAGTAGCTGGGATTACAGGCATGCATCACTGCGCCCAGCTAATTTTTGTATTTTTAGTAAAGACGAAGTTTTACCATGTTGCCCAAGCTGTTCTCTAACTCCCGACCTCAGGTGACCCACCCACCTCAGCCTCCCAAAGTGCTGGGACTACAGGTGTGAGCCACCACACTCAGCCAGGGGAAATATTTTAAAAAAAATTATTTTCACTAAAAGCTTTAAGTATTGTACACAACCATCATCGGAATATTTATATCAGAGTTATCAAACTTTTCCTAATAAAAGAGTGTTGTGTTTTAAAAATAGTGACTCCATTTTAAAAGTCATTTTTCTCAAGCCTCCAAATAATTATTTTCATAAACCTTATTTGCAACCTAAAACATTACCACCTGATTTATTCAAACATTCACTAACCATCATTATATCTGACTATCTTAAGGTGCTTGGTGCCCAACACAAAGCCTGACACAATCTCACATCATTTTGAGGTTTCAGTATGCTTTGTTCTTGTCCCAAATACTCATATTCTGTTGTACTACTATAAGCTATTACATAACAGGAGGTGGAGAAATTTTAAAAAATACTGCAGCACTACCAGCCATTTAGCATACTGAGTTCCCACAGTTGCTTAGTGGGTGTTCTGAAACTAGGCCATTTTCTAGTATTAAGAATTTCAAATCACTACTTCCAAAGTACAGAAATAAATGTCTTCAAGATTAAATCATAAAACCTTACTATTTTAAGCCGCCTAGTATATAAGCATCCCATTTCTATGAGTTTAGAGTTGCAATTAGCACAAGGTAGATAAACCAGTATTTCTTTTAGGAGCAAAATAACTAGCTCTCCCACCTACCCTTATAGTCACAGACTTCAAGAGTCGCAATATTTAAATAAAACATAATTTATTTGAACCAGATATAAAGCTCTGGTGAAATTTTGAATTCACCATATATATATATATATATATATATGAATATAAATTTTGAATTCACCATATATATATATCTCCCAGATATATACAAACCCAAACTGAATTAAATATAATCTATTTCAGGTCACCCAATCTGTCAGACACCACATACTTTTAGCAAAGAACTATGACTTTCAACCTAATTTTCCCAGTCCAGGTAACCAGGAAATGCCAAGGAATTAAGCTTATTTTCTTTAACAGATAAAAGTGGAAGAAATACTTAGCTATTTTGTCTTATCAATGCAACAGGTTATGTTTTCATTAGAAGTGGATCAAGAAAAACATGTTGCTACTCAATTTTACATATTTCATAGCAAAGTAAATAAATAAACACACAATAAGTATAACATCTACCTCTACAAATTATAAGGTGGTATATTATACTGCACTGATTCAGTACTTTCAGATAATTTGTTTCAACTTAATTTTGTTCAATAAATACTGTTACCTAGTATGTTTTACCTCATTAAGCAAGCCTTTCCAGTAAGAAAAGCTTAACACAGTAAGTTTTAAATTGTATCATTTTGAATGGAATTTTTCCAAAATACATGATCTTATGTTATCATTAACAAAATTTACTAATATCTAATAATCTCTTCTTCATGATCCTAGATCATTATTTTTATACTATTTTATGTATAAAACAAATAGTGTCTTGAAATATTCTATTTGTCATAACATTAAGTTGCTATAAACTGCTGTTTTTACAAAATGTCTTGCATCTGCTTTTTGAGTGTTTTTCTTCTGCTCTTATTTTCAACTATGTTATGCCTCTAGGAGTAATTTCAGTCCTTTTTACATTTGGTTACCAAACTTTTAAAAATTGTACACTATGTGAGAATAAAAATGCCTGAATTAAGGCTTGACGGACTCTAAGAACAGAAAATGTGTGTTTAAAAACAAGAACATTATGACATCTCTTTGTCCTTCCTTTGGGCCTGTTCAGTTTGTTTTGGAGCTGTAGACTATTCATCTAAAACTAATTTTTCCACTTGGAGCCTACAAAGTATAGACATTGTATACTGGTGGAACAGTAAGACAGACAGACATATTCAATGCTCATCTTGAGGCTTACAGTCTAGCAGTAAAGACAGACATCAAACATATCATTACAAAAATAGTGTTACAAAAAAGAAAGTACAAGCACTAGGACACCTTAAAACAGAAGAACCTAACTAGGGATCAAAGGAAGGTCTCCCAAAGGATGGGATACAAAATTGAAGCCTGAAGGGTGATTAGAGTTTAGCCACATGAAGAGTTCATGAGGTAGTAACCAAGCAGATGACACCAGATAGTTTTAGTTTCCTAGTAAGTAATCTCAAGATAAATGAGGTGTCACAACATGTTTAAGGCAATTGCTAAAATATGAGTATTTTAAAAAGAAATTTCTCAAATTTCTATAATAAAAATAATTACAAGGATCAAGAAATGCAAATGAGTGTTTCAACATAGAAAACTATGGCACTTTGCAGGGAATGGAGTTTGGGACATCAAAATTAGGCCTCACTATGCCCTGGAAGAAGTATTAAATTATATTGCATGAAAGGTCAGGCGTGGTGGCTGACATTTGTAATTCCAGCACTTTGGGAGGGCAAGGCAGGTGGACTGTTTGAACTCAGGAGTTTGAGACCAGCCTGGGCAACACGGCAAAACCTAGTCTCTACAAAAAATAGAAAAATTATCCAGGCATGGTGGCACACACCTGTAGTCCTCGTTACACGAGAGGTTAAAGGGGGAGGATCACTTGAGGCCAAGGAGGTCAGGGCTGCAATGAGCCTCATGATTGTGCCACCGCACTCTAGTTTGGATGACAGAGCGAGACCCTGTCTTGAAAACAAAACAAAAAAAAAAACCACAAAAACAACAAAAAAATACTGCATGAAAAAGAGACCCTGTCTGAAAAACAAAAACACCCAAAAAATACTGCATGAAAAATTACTCAATTCTCAAGTTCAGAAAACTTTTAAATCATACAAGACAATTACAAAGTCTGCTTCTAGGATATAACTGTTGACCATACAGTCTGACTTACCTAAAGAGAGGCACTGTCAAGTAAGTATGGAAGGTATTTTTTAACGTATACTCAAAAAAGAGTACATTTTAAATGATTATACAAAAAAAAAACTTTACTAAGAATTCTAAGAAAGTTAATAAATGTTACTCTTAACATGAAACATAAATGCTGACAAAAGATATTTAAGTATGTTTTTTTTAATTTTTTTGAGACAGAGTCTCACTCTGTCACCTAGGCTGGAGTGCAGTAGCACATTCTCGGCTCACTGCAACCTCCATCTCCAGGGTTCAAGAGATTCTCCTGCCTCAGCCTCTGGAATAGCTGGGATTACAGGTGCCTGCCACCACGCCCAGCTAATTTTTTGTATTTTTAGTAGAGACGGGGTTTCGTTATGTTGGCCAGGCTGGTCTCAAACTCCTGACCTCAAGCGATCCACCCGCCTCAGCCTCTCAAAGTGCAGGGATTACAGGTGTAAGCCACCACGCCCAGCCTTAAGTATGATTTTGAAACATTATCATTATCCAAGTTCTAAACCTGGGAATTATTACCCACGTTACACTGATATATTCTCCTTGTATTTAATTAAAATATTAATGAAAAATAAGTGAAAATGTTTCCCTTCTTTTCACAGGTGTTGAAGGTAAAGTTTTAATAGTATGGTCAACATTAATACAGATCTGCAGTTCAAAGCCCAAATAAAATTAGGAACATAAGAAATATTACTATTAACAATAATATAAGCTGTAACCGAAGCTTATATTACCATGTAACCTAATATTACTGTATAACCAATATTATTATTAGAATCCAAACTGTTATTCTTCTCTAATTGTCCAAATGGACCTAAACATATCTAACCTTTGTGCTTTTACTACCCTCCTCTATCCTACTTATTCCTCAAGTGTTTGTTGCAGTCCTGTCCTCCAGTAGGCATTGCCAGTTATATGTGCAGTCTGAGTCTTAACTCATCTGAGTTTGCCAGTGTATACTGCTGTTAAAAGCATGTGTCACATTGTTTAACAATTAACTATTGACTTGTTCAGTTCATGCAACAAACTCTGAACTTACTGAAAGAAGGAAACATATTTATCTCTGTATCCAGAGAGCCTGGGACACACATGGCATTCAGCAGAAGTTCCATGACATTGGTGAATGTGAAACTGTAGTTACTGAGAAATATTTACAGAACAAAATTGAAAAGTTAAAGACTATTTGCAAGACTGAGAAAGTACTGAAAGCAGGAAGAAGTGTTATACAACACAAAACTGGAAACTGAAAAAAACAAATTTAACTGATCAAATTAACTCCAAGTTGTAGAAATTATGTGTCAGAACAGGCAATTTCCACTTTACCTCCAAGACATTAGAAAAACTAAAAGAAAAGATTTATCTTTGTCAGCTGTAAAATTACTTAAAATTACAGGAATTTTAAATAATAATTGAGGGCAAATAAAGTATTTAAACATTAGAAGTCTTCCTAGTGCTATAAACAAAAGATAGTCATGCAGAAATAATTTATAAAAATATTTCAGGTTCATTTCACACAGAGACCAATTATACCCTTTTTAAAGGTCTCCTGTAATGTTTTAGCTACAAGCAGTATGTTCACTCTTATAAATGAATCCTTAGCTTTTAGAGCATGTACTACTTTTTGCAGTTCTGACCTTTAGAGAAGTTGGAATGAGATATACAGTGTGAAAATGAATTAGTGTTCTTTTAAGGCTTGATAATGGGAACTGCATGCTTTCTCAAGAAGTACATATGCTACCATCATCTCAAAAGCTTAAGGATCCTTTTGTGTGTATAAACTTTGCTTTGTGTGTATAAACTTTGGTAATCAGAATATCCTTTTGTGTGTATAAATTTTGCTTTGCTGAATTAAAGATGCTGTGTTAAAAAGTTGAGACCCGGGGGAAAATACCAAACAAAACCAGAATGAACACTGATTTATATTAAAATAATTCAATTACATATTTTAGAACATAAAAGTTTCTCAGACTTATATATGTATGTTTCAACCTGCAATAACAAACACTTTTAAAAACACTCTATAATATATGAAGTTCAAGCATACCACAGGTCATCTGTAATTTAGAAATTATTCAGATTTTAAAAGTCAGTTTAGACAGTCAGAAAACATAAAAATTTACTATATTAAGAGAAAATATTTCAAAAAAGATCTACAGGGCATGACTTTGATGCAGTGTAACAAGTAAATGAAACAAAATTCAGAAGGCCAAGCAGTTAAAATAGGGGATTACAAGAATAGCAGATGATGATATATGTCCATAAATTAGTCTAAGATTCAGCCAACTTATATGTCTAATGCATAACCTATAAAGCATGAAATAAAGGTCTACCAACAAGCAAAAATACCAACTCACTCACTATTTGAAGTACTCATTTATCACATAAAAGTACTTAATGTATAATTCTACTTCTAAATTACAGTTTCCATCTATTCATCTATAGCAAAATGCCAATCCCTACTAATCTTAAGAAATGTCAAAATATCCAATTTATATTTAAATTTCCTCTATCAATTGATATTTTATAAACAAGTAGCAGAATTCTCCCAAGTCCAAGCTACAAATCTCAGAACTCACTGAAGGATTTGTGAGTTAACTTGTTTTGTTGTTATTGTTTGGGGTTTTTTTAAATCTTATTTTGTTATCAGCATAAATCTTATGCTTTTCCAAACATGAAAGATACATGAATGATATAGTAAACCAAATTCTAAAGATATATTTCACTTAATCTTCAGCCTCCAAAAATATGCATCCTTATATCTACATATAGAGTTTATATCTTTTAGTCAAAACACAGATTTTTGTATTTAAATATTTTTACAAAAAAATCAAAATATCTGAACAGTTTAAAGAACAGTCTTCCAGAAATATTAAATTATACAACAAATATTGAAAATGAGTATTTTTAAGGCAAATATGACTATAATTTATCCACCTGTATAATAAAGAATTTCAGCTTTATTCACTCATCCTCCATAATTCATACAGGTAAGTCAAAGTAATAACTATACCAACCACTATTCGGAAACCATCTTTGGAAATATTCCACATACAATTCCAGTTTATGTCTTTCTGATGTGGAGAGAGAAAAGTCATTCTTCCCTGACCCAAGTCACAGAAAAAAACAGTATCATTTTAAAAGCCTAATTCCAGCCAGTATGACATAGGAATTTGTAATTTTCATGTTTCTATTTAAACATGAAATGTTTCAAATTTCCAACTGGCTTGTAGTTCACAAGTTGATGCATGACCTTTACTTGCTACAACTACCAGAAAAACAGCTCTGATGATGTTTTTCTGATCTTTCTGATGAACTTTCTGAATACGGTAGTTTAAAAACTAAAAAAAAGATCTAGCTGCAAACTACTAATGTATATTTTAATATCACTCTTTAATCCATAATAATTTATGAGAAAATTTTTAAACTTAAAAATTATATTAATAGTGAGTAATCAGAAATGTCAACTTTTAATGTAGCTGTTTCTTCAAAAACTGAAGGGGGAATGTGGGGATGGTTAACGGATATAAAAGACACAAAGAATACGATCTAGTATTTGATAGCACAACAGGGTGACCATGCTCAATATATTTAATTGTACATTTTAAAATAACTAAGAGTATAATTGGATATTTGCATCACAAAGGGTAGATGCTTGAGATGATGGGATACCTCATTTACTCTAATGTGATTATGCATTGTATGCCTGTATCAAAATATCTCATATAACCCATAAACACCTACTATGTACCCATAAAAATTAAAAACTAAAAATAAAACTGAACAAGCACCTTGGGAAAATGCCATACCCTTAAAGACATGTCCATAATTTGAAACTGGGATTTCAATATTGTTTTAAATGTTGGCTTTATATTAAATTTCAGCCATTTGAAAGTTACAAATCTTAGACAAAGCTTTTATTTAGTTTTGTCTTTATTTCTGTCTATTTTTCAAATGGGTATTTATAATTACATAAAAAGTTTACAGTATACTTTATGTCCAAATAGATAAAAGGTTTATCATACTCAATTTAAGTTTCATATGAGAATGGTCATTTGCATGCTTTATTCCTAAAATTCTTTTCACTGTCACATAGCAAAACATCAACACTTGATAAATTCAAATTATAAATATAACCTTACTGAATGTTACAAATTGGATGACATAGCTAAGTCTCTTCAAGTACACAGTAACAGTTCTACAGCCCATGGCATGGAGGATGAGAGTAAAGATTAGTAAGTACACTAATAAACTGAGGTCTTTAAAATTAAAACTAGTTTTCAGTTTTTGCTGCATTTAGTTACAAAAAACACTTGGTTACACAAGTGTACCTTAGGATTCTGAAAAACATAACAAAAAGCTTTTGATATAGTAGTCCCTCTTGACAAGAAACTAGACGCACTCGGTATCGACGAAAAGTATACGAAATGACACAGGTGTAAGCCTAGACACTGCTGGTAGTTATCACGCTGGAGGCAAATACTATACAGTCCACATTTGCAACCTAATTTTGCTTCAGCATCCCCAGAGACTTCGAAAATATTTCTTTGGGTAGGTTGCAAAACAGTGCTTCCTCTTTTATTCTCATCACCCCCATTAGGATACAAAGCAACAGACAAGAAAATCAAACAGCCAACTATAAGGGCTTAAACACACACACAAAGCATCTTCTTTCTAGCTCCCGAATCGGTATTTATCCCACCTGTTTGTAAATCCATAATTCCACAATAACACAAACTGCCTGCTGAAAGAAAGGAGGGAAGAAGAGAAAAACAAAGAAAGAGGAAAACGAAAGAAAAGAAATAAAGAGAAAGAAAGGCAAATTAATGCTTTGGAGTCACTACTCTTCCACCTAGGCATGGGGGGAGGGGGATGGTACAAAAACAATGGATATTGAGGGGCTGGGGGAAAAAATCGTCCTGCCCCGAAGCCTCTTGTGTTATAAGCCTGGGGCAGTCGGGGGAGAGTGAGACTACTTTTCCTCTCTCCCTAAAAGCTGTGCTATCACGGGGAGAGGTTGCCATCCGGCATGTTCTACGAGGCGGTCTCGAAGGGCTACAACTCGCTTCGCCAGGCAACACACCCAGAGCCGATCCAGCACTCCACTCAAAGGGTTTTCAGGGAGAGGAGAACGGGAAAGCAAGGTAGGCTCTAGGGAGGGGGCGCGAAGAGACCCCACCCTGTATGACCGCCGCTGCGCCCGGGCCCTCGCCAACGATTTACACGACTTGGGCGCCCTGCGGACTGGGCCCGGGGCCCCCGGGAACTGAGAAGAGCGAGACTGTCCGCCGGGCGCCCCCGGCCCGCGCCCTCGCGCCGGCTCGCCCTCGCCCAGGCGCTGTCCTGGCCGCCCGCCGCCGCCGCAGGCCCGGCCCCGGCCGCTGTCAGACCCGACCGCCTTCCTCTCCGCGCCGAGCTGCGGGCTCCCACGCGAGCAGGCTCCGAGGGCCCCGCACTCCCGGAGACAGCACCCAGGAAAGCGGCGGCGGCGGCGCCTCCCAGGGCCCCGGCCCCTCGGGCCTCGCCCCGGCGTTGCCGGCTCGCGCCTGTCAGGGCGCGCGGGGCCTCCCCCTACCGACAGCCAGCCCGACAGCCCGACGGACAGGAAGGCAGGCAGGAAGAACCGACCAACAGACACCCTCCGCCTCATCGGCCCCGGGTTACCGTCAGGAGCCCCGACTCCGCCATCCTCCTCGCTCGCCCTGCTTCCTCCTCTTCCTCCTCCTCCTCCTAAGAAGCGACGCTGCCCAACCGCCGCCCCCCGCCCGCCCCTCCCCCACTCGCCCCGCCCCACCCGCCCCTCCACTACTCTCGCTCCAGCCTCCCCGCCCCACCCCTCCGGCGTGGGCCCGTCACTCGCTAGGCAAGAAAAATGGGCGGAGCCGGGGCAAGCGAAGCTGCCCAATCAGAGAAGGGCAGTGGCGCCTGCTTCTCTCTCTCCGCCCTTTTCCTTTCCTCAGTTCCTCTACGCCGTCTCCCGCCCACTGGGCGCCGCTGGCTAGCCGGGCTACAGAGTAAGCCTCCTGCAGGGTAGAGTGACAACTCTCCGATCGGAAGTTACTGTTGAAGCTAAGGCGGCCATAACTGATAATGGCAACAGGAGTTTCCTGGCTTCCTGTTTCCAGGGTGACGTAGATTTTTTTCCTTCGCCAGTCTCACCGTTACCCGGGGCAACAGCTGAGCCGTCTGGGAAGGGATGCATCTGTAAGTAAGCCCAAAGAGGTACCGTGGGTGACCAGACATCCCATGTTAGACAAGTTAATTCATACTCTGGACTACACGTCCAGTTTCCCGGCCCTTATTTTACTGAGACATCTGGTCACATACGTAGATGGACTATAGTTTAGGGCTCCGAAAATCCCTCTCCTGCCCGGAAGTTGCATTTGGCACTTCCGAATAGGGTCATGGCGGAAGGGGGTAAATAGCCTTGCCGCCCGTGCCGTAGGGAATGCCCATTCTTGACCTCAGTTGCAAAGTGAGGTGAGTCCCTGGGGCCCAACCAGTGGGCCGGACCCGAGCCGGACGGTCCCTGTGGGACGGAGCGCTGAAATGGAGAGCGGGGCTCAGGGCCCCTTCCGTTAGAAGCTGCTTTTCTTTCCGGGCTGGCCTAGCGGCGGCCCGCCCTCCCTCCGCCCCCCGAGGCTCCCTGTGGGGTGAGGCAGCGCTACAGGCCGCCCTACCCCAGCCAGAGCCAGCCTGGCTGGGAGGGCCCCAGCGGGGAATGGGCGCGGACCTCGGGCGGAGCTCCTAACTCCGGCAAAATGGAGCTCCTGACCACGCCTCCGCAAGTTCCTATTAAGTACTTTCACTCTCTGGCCTTTAGAGGGAAGAGAATTCGGGAACTTGAGAAAATAATTTTCTACCTTCAGCTATAAAAGAAAAAGATGAGCCCCTACAATCAGGGCAAGACCTCTATCTTTTTCCCCTGCCACCTGCATTCTCATTCTGAGTTTTCCCCCCTTTCCGCGTTTGTCCTTTGAGTCTTTGTAAGCTTTGACTGCGGTTCTTGTGGTGGGATATACTATCGTAATCCTGCAGGTCTACAGATTCTTAACGTGTTGAATATTTTTGAAAATACTGTATTGCTTTAATATGGCCCTTTACAAAGTTATCATACGTTATCTTGTAGTTTCTTCTGTATGCTTGAGTCAAGAACTCTCAGTCATCTTGGTAATACCGGGTTGGATGCTTAAAGCTGCAGCAAAAAGACCAGAACTTTCAGGTAAAATTGAAAATTGTTAATATCCAGCCAGTCAACAAAACCTACCTTCTCGACTTAATTTCTACTTCCCTGGTACTTACACGCCAGCCAAAATGAACTACTCTTGTTTCTTAGCGGTTAATTACTGAAATCTGTTGTAGCACTCACCTTTTGTGATTCTGTCTGATTCTGTTATTCGTGGAGATGTGTTTCCAGATTCTCCCCAGCAGAAAGTAATTCCTCTGAGTTTAGCATTTTTTGCACGTCTTTTATGACAATCAGTATGTTATATATATATAATAGCCGCTTATGTTTTTAACTTCACTACCATGTCTGCACCTAAATAGAATGGTTTGTATCAGATTCGTCTTCCTGTCATTTTCGCCCTGCACATGATATTATTTTGGTAAATACTTACTGAAAGTTTGAATATCTCGGGTGTCTCTTGGATGCCCAAGACAGTTCCAGCCAAGTTTTAGAGATCTTCAATTTATCAGAAATTCAGCTGAGCGCCTGCTACTCAGCCTTTTTTTACGTTTCCCCTGTAAAGTCTTTCTGACATGATTTTTTTCCCCAATGTTTTATTATGAAAGTGTTCATATATTTAAAAGCTGAAAGAATTAAATAATTTAATGAATATTCATATACCCGTCATCTAGATGCAGCAGTTAACATTTTGCCATATTTTTTTCATTCCTCCTCATTTTTTCATTGTTGTAAAAAGTTGCAGACACTTATTGTTAGGCAGACACCCTTAAGACTTTGAGCATGAATTTCCTGAGAATTTTGAAGTTCTCTAGCAAAACACAATATCATTATTACAGCTGTTTTGTAATGTTTAAAATCTAGCCCAAGTGCTAATTTTCCTAATTTACCCAGGAATATCCTTTATACCTTCTCCTTCCCATTCTTGCAAAAAAAAGAAATCAGGATCCAGTCAAAATTTTTCTTCAGCTTTAATGTAGTGGAGTTCCCCCATCTTTTTCCCCCTGTGACATTGGCATTTTGAAAAGTTCAAGCCAGGAGTCTTTTTGGAAATGAGCCCCCCTTTTTTCTTCTTGTAAACCAGAAATTAGTCTAGAGGCTTAAGTTGAACATTTTTTTTTTTTGCAAGGATATGTCACAGTGTTCATACTTTTCCAGTCATGACTAAGCCTTCTCAAACGCCAAGTATACGCACCTTTTCCATGATTTGCTGGTTAAATCCATCTCACTTCTCAGCATGCTTACCCCTCTCCGGTGTCCTACAAAGAGGAGGGTAGCATTTAATCATGTGTGTATAGAGTATGTGTTAGTGCCTTGGGTTGGCAACATAGACTGACTACCTTTAATAAAGTGTTGCTGCTACTTTGCCTATTCTTGGAGCTGATGCAATGTATTTCTGCAGTAAAGTGTACTGATGTCAGCATAGTTTATGAGTTTCAACTCCTGGCACCCTGCAGACATTGTTGAAAGATGTGTGGGCCCTGCTATTCAAATACAGATGAATCTTGATGTTATCAAAGCAAATACCAAGGCAACTGTTGGCCATCTGGTCACATTCCAATTTAGGCATTGTTATTTTTCTCACTGAAATTCTCATGCAAGTCTTAATTGGTCCTGGTGTTTTTGTGATAGCTTTTTGGTAGCATTAAGCAGAGCCTATTAAAAATTACAAAATCAAGATTATACTTAACACTTAGTACATTAGATACATCCTCTGTCTAATGGATAGATAAGTGTTTGTGGAATTTACTTCATAATCACAAAAGGAAAATTCTCAAGACTGCCAACCTCATATACTCCTAGCCTAGACTTATATTTGATCATGAAAGATAAGTGAAAGGAAAAAACTGCACATAAGGGAGCGGAAGAAAATGCTCTGGGAGGACAGAATCTCTTAGATTGGTATAGAATGTTTTTAGCCATCATATTGAAAATTACGTAATGCGTTCCGTTAGTTGCTTCCTTTGTGTAGAAGGGAATTTGCTTGTGTGGGAATACTCCAGATTTAAGTGAGGCAAAATAATATACCAATTAAGATCACAGGTTTTAGCATCAGACCTGGGTTTCAGGAATAAGACTATTCAATAACTGGATGACCTTGGACAGTCTACTCACTCTATTATCTATTAAACGGCGCCTTGCCAGGTGTGGCTCACACCTATAATCCCAGCACTTTGGGATGCTGAGGCAGGTGTATCACTTGAAGCCTGGAGTTTGAGACCAGCCTGGCCAACATGGCAAAACCCTGTCTCTACTAAAAATGCAGAAATTGGCCGGGTTTGGTCTCACACACCTGTAGTCCCAGCTACTCAAGAGGCTGAGGCATCAGAAACACTTGAGCTTGGGAGGCAGAGGTTGCAGCGAGCCAAGATCACGGCACTGCACTCCAGCCTGGGCAACAGAGCAAGACCCTGTCTCGAAAAAGAAAAAAATAAGTAACATTTTTAAAAAAGAGCCTTAAAACCGTTAGGGATTGTTGTACAGAATTAATTCAAATATATATAAAGTGTTTTACCTCAGTTTATATAGCACATGGAGTGCAGTCAGTGTATGGTAGTTAATAATTTCTAAAGCAGTCCAGTTAGGGGACGTATTGAATTCGGGCACATATTGACATTGACTATTTAGTGAGTGAAGGAATGAATCTATGGCAGTAGTTCTCTTAAGTTTAATGTGGGGGACTTGATTAAAAGTTAGGGTCCAGCTGCCGTGGATCATCCCTGTAATCCTAACAATTTGGGAAGCTCAGGTGGGCAGATCACTTGAGCCCAGGAGTTTGAGACCACCCTGTCTCAAAAAATACAAAATATTAGCCGGGCAGGGTGGCATGTGCCTGTAGTCACAGCTACTTGGGAGGCTGAGGCTGAAGGATCACTTGAGCCCAGAAGGTCAAGGCTGTGGTGAGCCATGATCACATGACTGCACTCTAACCTGAGCAACAGTGAGATCCTGTCTAAAAAAAAAAGAAAGAAAAAGTATTCTGATTCAGCAATTCTGATTTCTGGAGAGCTCCAGAAAAATCTGTATTTTTAATAATTGTACAGGGAGTTTTGATGCAGATGATTTGGGGACTGGGCTTTGAGAAGCACTCTGTAGAGTATCAAACAACTTTTCTCTTTCCTTGCACACTGCTGAAATAGCTAACTAAATATCTCAGGTGTGAGCAAATACTTTTTTAAAAGGTTAATAGCTAACATTTTTAGGACCACTGTCTAGTATTGAATTTTGAAATAGGAAGGGTTATTAGAAAAAGACATTTTACGTGAGTAGGATGTATCATTGCTAACTTAATAGTAGTGTCTGCTACTGGATTTTCCCAGAGCCAGTGGCATCATCCAAGTTCACTCAAGAAGAATTCCCGTTCTTAGGCCTAGGCACATTTCAGAAGCTAGACACCACACATTTTATTCACATGAGCTTGAATTAATTAGCTAAATCGAACATGTTGGAACATTTTTCTACCAGCAGATGCCAGATAGCAAAACAGTAGAATCTACTGTAGTCTCCAATATATGACATATGATGTTACTTGGCATCTCCAGATAAACATTATCAATCCAAATTAAGCATTCTGCTAGCATGTGGGCAGTTGCTTGAGTGAGTATTACTACTTTATGTTTGCTGAAAAATGCATTCTTTCTAGGCTCCCCTTTTCACCTTTTTCTTATATTTACATTCAGAAATCTAGTATGTTTTTGAAAATTCACCTATCAGTTAACCACAAGTCTTGGATAAGACAAAAAATAAAAATTTTGTTATTCTACCATTGTCACCACCCCCACTCAGAACCCCCACAGTAGGCAGGTTGAATTTACTTTAAGGAACCCAACTTAATAAATATTCACAGAAGAAAAATATTCTTTACATAAAGTATCCTTTACAGTCCATGGCCATGATTGCTCCTGACTACTCCTTCAGTTCCCAGAGATTGTATTTTTGTATCTCAATGCCCATTAATAAAATTAGCTTGGCATATGTTCACAGTGGCTCTGTGTTTTACTGTAGTTGCAAAGTCAAATACGTACAATGGATGGGCAAGTAGTAAGAGGAAACAATAGGCAGTAGGAAGGACTGGAGAATTCCAGAGCATGTGCTTACCTAAATGAAGCATCACTTCCCAGCCCTAGCCAAATTTTGCCATATTGAAATGTGGGCTTGATGTTGCCAGATTTGTCAAGTGGAGCTAAAATTTGGATTTTTCGTGAAATTTCCTGATTTTTAAACATCGGCTCAAATACTTTTTAAATACCTGTAAACCAACAAAATATTTAAGTGGATAGCATCCAGGGTTACCAGTTTATGACATGTATGTTTCTTAACATGAAAACATAAGTGGTGCTTTTGTTGAGAATCTCAAAATGCTTTAGAAATTTTTTCTTTTTGCCATATGTCAACTGCATTTACTTCTGTAGGTTAGGCAACAAGTCACTGTCATCTCCATCAAAAATTCAAGATAGATTATTTTATACAACAAGCCTCTGTTCCCTTGATTATAATTTTAAAGGTTTTAACCTTTGCTGCCCTTTTGAAAGTTTGTTCATATTTTCTCAACTTTGAGTTCTATTATGAAATAGGTTTGCTTTATTATCATACTTTTTAAAACATTTAAGAACACAATTTGGCAGCACATAGTGCTTCAAAAGTAAGTGAAACAGGTTTTTAAAGAAAAGCACCTCTAAATAGATCATGCTGTCTTATACCATGATATTTATGAAGATTCAAAGATTTTTAGAGACAGAAGATACCGTATGGTAATCTAGAACAAGCCCTTTATTATAGCAATATGAAAATTAGTCCTGGAATAATAAATATCATACTGTATTTCTAAGGACTTTTACATCCACTTATCACTTGAACCTTACAACCCAGGACAGATAATAAACATATTTTGTATGAGAAAATCAAACCTCTAGTTAGCTAAAAAATGTATTCAAGGTCACACAGCTAGTTAGCAGCTATGACCAGAGTACAACCATGTACCCCATTCAAAGTATAAATGTGAAATAGAGTACAACTAGTTAGCACCAGAGAGCAAC